TTCACTGAAAACTGAGCAATCATTAATTGCAGATATTTACCTCTCACCTCAGAGAACACTCTCGATCTCGGAATCCGAGAAGATACTTTACTTTCCGACCTTTTTACCTCACTTGAACACGTTCTAACTTGGTCGTCGGAGGCGGAACTCCAACCAACCGGAGTCTCCGTTGTTTTGCAGGTACAGACGCTTGGAATCCAGTATTGGTGTTATAACTCTCCCTAGGGACACGGAAAACCCCGAAACAGTTGACACATGTGAACTTGATATTTTCAATACAAGTTCACATGTGTAAATAGTTATGTAAATAAGAGTTCACATATGTAAATATTTATTTAGGTAAATAAAGTTTAGAATAACTCATGCGTAAATACCAAGTTTAAGGAAAATAATGAAAATATTTTTTACCTATGATTAATAAAATTTATAGGATCAATTAATATTATTCTAGTATATACTGATATTTTTCTAATATTATGCGTAATATTTATAGGAAATAGAAGATCTTAAAAATTTTTGGTGAATAATTGCTTTATTTATTTAGGATAGTGGATAAGAGCGGAATTTTTTTTAATATCCAGGTGACACATAGAACTTCTGTTTGGAGTGTCCTCTGTTTTAGTATAGTTATAGATAGATAGATTCGTTAAAATCGCCTTTTTGACTCATTCTTGCTATGAAATATTATCCTCTTGTCTTAGGAAGCTCTAAAAGCAACCTTGACTCGCTCTGCGTCTCCTTGCGTAGTCTGGCCGATCTAGCGGCAACCTATTGTGGCGTTGGTCATAATGTTGGTCACAACAGAAATATTTGTTGCCATGGCTTGTTAAGTCGTTATATCATTTGAAAAATACAAGTAAGCAAATACATTCAAATGAGCCAAAAAAAAAAAGTGTGATTAACTGATTATACATAAATGGGATTTCTCTCAGACAAATGCCTCGTTTTGTCCTCACGATTTAAAGAATGGATTGATCAGACTCGTCATCTGTTGTAATCATCATCGAGAAATCCTTCACTTTTCTTTTTGTTGTCAAATTTACCGATTAAACTCATTTTAACTAACACTCATTTAAGCATTATTCTTTTTATAATTTGTACAAAAAAGAAAGCCTTAAATCTTCATTACTGTGTTAATCCTTCAGGTCATCATGTCCGAGCAATTTGCACATTGCAGCTTATCACTTATCAAGTTCTTTTAGCCTATTAATTTAAATTTATTGAAAATAAACTAAAAAGATGGGATTTCTCTCAGACAAATGCCTCGTTTTGTCCTCACGATTTAAAAGAATGGATTAATCAGACTCGTCATCTGTTGTAATCATCATCGAGAAATCACTATCTTTAATTATTTCCACTAATTTTTAAATCAACAAATTAATACTAATTTTAATTTCTAGTATCCTCAGCTAAATATTGGTAAAAATGTTTCATCAAATTAAGATTCAGCTCTGATGATTCGTATTTAGAACATCCTTGGACCCATAAACCCTCGGATGAATATCAGTAAATTAATAATAATAAGTTTGAAATCGATTAAATGAATTGAAAAAGATCAGAAGAAGCTTTTCTAGGGCTTGCAATTATGCATCAAAAATTTCAGAGCCCAGTGCACATTCATCCTTTGAATTTCTAAATCAAATTTAAATTAATTAAATAAAAAAAATCAAGAGAATCCTCAGAAAACATGCTTGAAAGTTTGTCATCAAGGAAAGACAAATCTCAGGTCTCAAAGATTATTTACCATCACTGGACCCTCCAAAAATAAATCATTTAAAATAAAACCCTCAAGATAACGAATTAAAGGAGAGAGAATATGGCAAGGCATAATTCATTGGACCTCATTAAATTGAAGGCACAATGACTCAAATCTCTGCCCCTTGATTTTAATTTCTTCAAAAATTGAAGAAAACACTGGCGAAATTTCCCAATCGGTCAGAGCACCGCCCTGTCAAGGCGGAAGCTGCGGTTCGAGCTCCGTCAGTCCCGACCTAGGCGCTGCAAGCGATCAATTTATCTCAGGTAAGAAACGATCGAGTATCGAACTACCTTAAACCGATAAATGGCTAGTTGGAGAAAGCCTTATAAGTCAACTAATCGATGAAACTCTTCCTAGGCTCTGCAAGCGATCAATTTGAAAATGAAGAGTAACAAAGATTAAACCGAGAAAAAAGAGAACTGGAGAAGTGGACGATATATATATCGAAGAAATTAGGGATTTGCTAAAATAATACAAGCCCATGTTATGTTAACCTAATGTTTTATGAGGCCCATTTCATTTTTATGAGTCAAGGGATTTAATCTTGTGTTGCCTCAGGTTGGGTCTTACATTGTTTTTTGGTAGAAGTTTGGTTTGGTTTGAGTGTCTTAAAGGAGTGATCGATTTTAAAGTTGAGAAAGGTTAATTGACCCGATCTGGTGATTCAACTCCAACCTAATCTAAGTATAGCGGGTTAAGTTTGGGGATTTTTAATTTCTGTATGAGATAGGAAAACCATCGTTACTAAATCATCATTCGACATTTTATAACAATAATTAACCTCATGCGATAAAATTATAAAATATCAGTACGAATAATTTTCTTTAATTTGATACCTGAAAAAATGGTATGAGCAATTCACCTCTTCTTGGGTTTCCAAACCCCATACCATGTGGGTTTGAAAGATTGGTTTTAAAGTTGAAAATTTAAAAAGCACGATCTATGAGTTTTACCTATTCTAAAATCATACATCTTACTTGAACAAAGTGCCAATCGAATTTCATGACTTTTAAGATTAATTAGCATAGATAAACAAATCTAAACAGGATTTAAAAGTCAAATTACTAAGATTATATAATCCGCTGATTTGGCTTCGTGCTATTATAGGAATATTCGAGTGTGTTGAAGTTCTACATTAGCATTAACACACTATCGTGCTTCTTTCAACTATACTTTGATCAAAGGTAGTAGCGTTAAGTTGCTTTCTTTCTTTAAATGCAACAGAGAAGCTGAGAAGATGTCATTTCTTCACTAAGCTACTAGTAGCAGTATGTTTTTTTTTTTTTGAATTAGTTCAAGTTAGGATTAGTTTTATCCGGGTAAATAGTGTAGGCGAGATTTGACCTTTGGAATTGGAGATACCACCTGGGTTTTTGGAGTTACCTGTAAACTCTATCTGAAATAATTAGCTTCAATCTGAATTTGTTAGGCGAGGATTAATCGTGCAACCTTTTAGTTTAAGATATAAGGTTTACCATCCTTCCACTTCCTTATAATAGTGAAATGAATTTTACTCCCTTTTAATACTATGATCACATTATACTGAAAAATGGGTGACTTTTGATGTGTTTTACAAGATGATTTGTTGTATGTAGATGTTTATCGTAAATTCGTAATCATTTTCATTTGAAACTGTATTTGTTGTTACTCCTGTGAAAGCATATTTCTTTTATCATTTCATTAGTTTCTGTTTAGCATCTAGGGCTGCGCAACCCCCACCTCAAAATTAATGGAAAAAACACTATTATGTTATTTAGCAATCATTTTTCTAATAAACATACTTGGATTTGAAAACTATTTATACAAGTCTATTGTCTTTTCCTAAAGTCTACGATGAGAAAATATAATATGGCTTAGGACAATAATAGATGCCTCTGCAGTTTAATTAGCTGTGAGAAATTCTCTTCAACGTATAGATTATCCAAGATTTATGATCCAAAATTGTTGGTTTGGATCTAGTAAGAAATCATATAATTATGAATAACACTTGATTGCTTAACAGTGGCTTAATTGAGCTTTAATAACACTTGTCCCTTTTTTACCGGATTAAGGAATGATTTAGATAATTAAAAAGCAGATATAGATTGTTATAAAAAATAGTAGATGTATTAAATCTAACCGTGATTTATATAGAGATTGTTAATATGATCGGGGTTGATAATCCTAACATCGTCAAATATCATTTTTTTTTTCTCCAAAATAATTATTAATCATCCATACCACTATAATGTTGGTATTGTATGGTAACGAATTGTTTTTCTACACTACAGAGTATTATCGTGTACCTGATTATTTTTTACTCTTAAGCCTTAACTAACTTATGCAATACTGAAATAGAATACAGAGTTGAACTTAGCCTATATTTGATCTCAATAACCTCAAAATTATTCGAATATAGAAATAAAGACTTTAAACGTATACTACAGTTACGTTAAACTGTAAAAAGCAGGGGTTACTATTCTAATGTTTTAGTTACGGTGCAAAATCATAAGGTGTAAGGCTGTTTAGCTATCAATAACTGATGCAGCTATGACTGCATGACTGCATCCCATGCCTTTTGTTGGTGATAGGTTTATGGTTCGCACCAGTGCCGGGGCTAAAATTGTAAATTATTTATGGTGCCTTGTTCAACTTTTTAAAATGAGGTCTTCTACTCGATAAATTTAATACACAATTTTTATTTGATAATAAAATTCGTTGAATAATTTTGGGAGATGAAAAAATTTGAAAATTAATTGAATAATTGAAGAAAATGAAGAAGATAATAATAGAAAGTAAATAGGAAATATAGAGTTTAGAAGATATAGAGTATTTTTGGAATTGAAATAGTAGATTGAAAATTTTTGGGGGAAAAAGGAATCTGAATTCAGCTCCCCAAAAAATTAGACAATTGTTTGATGCGTGTCTCGTACCCAAGACCTCCTATACTCAAGGCAATTGCTCTAACCACTACACCAACTGCACTTTCAAAATATTATACCTAACTTAATTATATATATCTAAATTTTGGGGCCCCTCAAATTTTGGGGCCCTGTTCCGTCGACCACCTTGCTCCGGCCCAGAACCGCCTATGGTTCGCACAAATCTTTTTCATTCATTTTCGTTGGTGATTGTGCTCCAGAGGTGTTTCATACAAGGGGGGCAATCATTTTTGCCAACCTCATAAATCATAATACCTCTCATTTCTATTTGGTCATGTTTTTTTTATCTTTTTTTTTTTTGAGAAAACGTTGTAGGTGCCTTATATTGATAACTTGTCCATCAAAACATAGGGAGAAACCTCACAAGGGACGTGGTTCTCCCAAACTTGTTCTACACCAAAAGGCGTTAAACGGGCTAAATTATGAGCCACAACATTACCGTCCCGTTTAACATGACACCAAACAACAGAAGAAAAAGAGGAACAAGAAGATAAAATATCATCTAAAATTGCATCCAGGTCAGTGAAGAAGATCGATGCTTTGGTTAAGCGATTGATGATAACTTGGCTATCAGATTCGATTATAACCTCCTTCAATCCGAGGCGTTTTGCAAGTTTTATGGCCAAGGCAACCGCTTTCCCTTCCGCAATAATCGGAGACCAATGAGCTCTCACTCTTCTGGCCGCAGCAAAGAGGGTATCCCCCTTCCAATCTCTAGCAATCACCCCCATTCCTACCCAACCTTCATCACACAAGGAAGCATCACAATTGAGTTTAACAATACCTTCCGGTTGTGCTTTCCATCCTTTGGGGCTGCGGCAAGAATTTCTTTTGACCCCTCCATATTTCTTCTTCATGTAGGTGTTACAATCAGCCGCAAGGCGGTGAGTACGCTTAACAATGACGGGATGATAAATTTCCTTGCCATTGAAGACCATTTCGTTTCTCCGATTCCATAAGTACCACATTAAAATCGCACCTCTACTCACCTTCCTTGCGTCCAGCTTGCTCCATGATTCCAATAAATCCAAGAAAGACATACCAGTTGGCCAAAAAGACATCTCCACACAATCGCACTCTACCCAAAGTTCACGCACAGTGTGATAATCGAACATGGCATGCTGGACGGTTTCTGGGTAGTCCACGCACCATGGGCAACTCACTACATTAGTCATGTGCCTATGCATGAGGTAGGCTCTTACAGGGAGAGTTCCCGTGCAAACTCGCCACAAAAAGTGTCGGACTTTTGGGGTAACCTCCAACTTCCAAATCTCTATCCATGCTTTGTGAAACAGATCAAGATTACATGACTTGCCTAGCATATAGGCTGTTTTCACAGAATAGCAACCATCATTCGAGAAGGCCCACATTATAGAGTCTTTAGCAGCATTCGGACACAAGGGGATTGCTAGTATGCTATGAATGTCTTCAGTATTGAAAATATTTTCGATGCGTTGAACATCCCATTGGCGAGAGTCATGATCTATTAAGTCACTTACCCGAGTCACAACATCCGAACAAGGGGTGGAAGGCGCAGTATATGATTTATTAAGCCATATGTTGACTGTTGTTTCATTCCCTATCCTCCAAAGCAAACCCTCCTTGAAAAGGGCCTTCAAAGACCATATACTGCGCCAAGAGAAACTACCTCCATAACCCAAGTTTGCTTCCAGGAAGCTCTTGCCCGCATAATATTTCGCACTTAACACCTTATTGAGGAGAGAATTTGGGTTACTGGTTAGCCTCCATGCTTGTCTACCAAGGAGGGCATCATTGAAGACTCATAAGTCCCTGAAGCCCATGCCTCCTAGGCACTTAGGAGAGCAAAGATCCTTCCAACTCTTCCAGTGAACTTTCTTCCGGGTAGTATCATTTCCCCACCAAACGCGAGCCATCATAGCATGAATCTCCCCAATTACCCCTTCCGGAATTCTATAGACTCCCATAATATAAGTCGGAATGGCTTGAATGACAGATTTGAGTAGAATTTCCTTGCCCGCTCTCGATAAAAAAATTTCTTTCCACCCTGACAATTTTTTCCATATTCTATCCTTAAGGGCTGCAAAAATCGTCTTTTTTTATCTACCAATTATTGTCGGAATCCCCAAGTATTTCTCATGCTTATTAACCCGACGCATAGCCAAAACCCCCAATAATTCCTCTTGCACCAAAGCACTCACCCCTTTACTAAAAGAGACCTCCGATTTTTCATAATTATTTTTTTGGCCGGAAGCTTGTTCGTATATGTTGAGGATTTCAACAATCTGGGGAACACTCCCTTCGGTTGGCTCTTGCTAAAAGAAGACTATCGTCTGCAAATAGGAGGTGAGAAATTTCCGAACCTCTTCGGCTAGCTTTAACACCATGAATAGAACCATCAACTAAAGCTTTCCGCATCAAACCCGAGAAAGCATCTGCAACAAGAATAGATAAATATGGAGAAAGAGGGTCTCCCTGTCTAAGACCCCTCGTGGGTGAAACTGAGCCACAAACATCCCCATTGACAATAAAGGAGTATTTAACCGAAGTTACACAATCCATAATTGTTGCCACCCATTTGTCCGCAAACCCCAATTTCAAGAGAAGTTTTTCTAGAAAATTCCACTCAACTCTATCGTAGGCCTTACTCATATCCAGCTTCATAGACACCATGCCTCTTTTACTGCTACATCTCGTCTTCATTGTATGAAACAATTCCAGGGCTATGAGAGCATTGTCAGTAATAATCCGACCGGGGACAAAAGCACTCTGATTCTCCGAAACAATGTCAGGGAGGATAGATTTCAGTCTCATCACAATGGCCTTCGAAGCAATTTTATACAACATATTACAGAGAGCAATAGGCCTATATTCTGACACTAGAGTAGGGGAATTCACTTTTGGGATAAGCACAATGTTAGTATGATTAACAGGGACAATTGACTCATTACCCTGCAATATACTACTAACAAGTCTGGAAACATCATCACCTACAATATGCCAGAATTTTTGGAAAAAGATAGCATGCATAGCGTCAGGACCTGGAGCCATGCAGGGGTGCATTTGTTTAAGAGCGGCAAAAATCTCCTCCTTTGAGAACGATCGCATAAGCTCAGAATTAATGTCTGGAGTCACAAGTCTCTCAGTTGCCTCGAGAACCTTAGTGCACGCATCCTCGGAAAAAGTGCCAGCAGCAAATAAGTTTTTATAGAATTGTTCGACAATCTTCTCAATATCTTCTAGCTTCTCTTTCCAATTACCCTCGGCATCATAGAGGCCTTTTATCTCATTTTTGTTCCTGCGCTGAGAGGCTTTATGGTGGAAATATTTGGTATTGCGATCCCCGTCCTTGATTTCTGAGGCCCTAGACCTCAAGTACCAGTAGGCTTCCTGCTTATCACACAGTTCCTCCAGCTGCTTCTCAATGTTAGCACATTTAGCAAGAGGCTCATCTGACACCGCCTCCCCTTGCGCCTCTTTCAATTCCTTCTCGAGCTTGTCAATTTGCAATTCCAACCCCTTGAACTTACGACCACTCCAGCTCTTCAGATCACCCGCAACCCTCTTCAAACGGTCCCCCACCTCACCCATACTGTCTCCCCAAGCCCCACGCACTACCTCCTCACATTCCCCATCGAGCAGCCAGTGAGTTTCAAAACGAAATCGAATTTTCTTTTTTCTCTTCTTTTTCCTCCTATGTTCACCAAATTTCAGAAAAATTGGTGAATGATCAGATTTTTTACGAGCCATGTTGTCCACCTCCTGGTTGAGAGAAAGCTAGAACCAAGGTCCATTTGCCACAAAACGATCCTACCTCTCCCTAATAAAAGTTTGTACAGTCCGACCTTTCTCCCATGTAAACCATTGCCCTTCATACCCAAAATCCCTAAGCTCACAATCGTGAAGAACTTCCCGAAAATCAAGCAAAGCCCTTCTCGCATTATCAACTCCGCCCTCCTTTTCACCATACGACAAAATCTCATTAAAATCGCCCCCAAACAACATAGGCCCCTCAACATCATCACATAACTGTCTAATTAGGGACTAGGTTTTGTGTTTATTTCCAGACTCCGGCCACCCACACCCGACTCAAGTTTAACATCACCACAAATATGATTTTGGGAGAACGAAACCAGAGAAAAATCCACACAGTCCCTCCAATAAATACACAACCCCCCGGATCTACCAATACTACTCACACCAAAAGAATACGAAAAATTGAAACTAATTTTATTATTCTTAGCAATGCTTTTATTAACTTTTGTTTCAGACAAAAATAAAATATCAGGAACTAAAGAAGAGCACCACTTTCGTAGTTCCCGAACTGCACGAGGGCTAGCAAGCCCCCTACAGTTCCAACATAAAGTACTCATTGGTCTTGGCGGGGTTGATCCATGTCAACCTCCGCCGGACTAGAAGAAAAAGAAGGCACCTCCGAGCTAGCTTGCTTTGAATCGCTTCCCAAAAGATGTCTCACTCGTTTCCACTTCAACAGAAGAATCAAGAAGTTTTCTCTTCCCATAAAGAGGTGGTTGCTCCTCCATATTGGTATCCATATCTCTGTCAATGCGTTTCCATGTCTTACCGTGAGAGTCTCCTCCTTTAATCTCTCCAAGCACTTGCTTCTCTAACTCCAACCTTGGAGTTATTAGGGGGTCAGCCACAAGTATCGGATTAATAGGGGAAGAGGCATCCTCCAAGTGGTTTGCGCTATATCCGGACTGGGTATTAGGAAGAATCCCCGTCACCTCAATATCATCACTGATTGTAACCGTCGTAGTGCTCTCCTTCAAGGCCCCTAGTTGAACATTCTGCTGGACATTATCCTCCTTGTGTAGGATCACGGTTTCAGCCTCCCTTTCAGGCGAAAAAACAAGCTTCCGGGCAGCCACCGGAGGTCCCTTACGGATCACATTTGGGTCATGATAACCAGGGAGTTTCACCGTAGCCTGCCCCTTCAGTTTAGCCAGCAACTCCTTCTCCTTTTCACGCTCAAAGATCGATAGTCTGACTGGTTTCTTTGGCAAAGCTCCAAGCCAAGGTCCATACTCATATACTACCCCCTTCTTAACTGCCTCCTCCTCCACATATTGACATTCAATGTCAGTGTGTTCAAGTCGGCCACAGTAATAACAAAAATCCGCCAGACGCTCATATTGAATGCCACACCACTTCGATCCTTGTCTTCCAGTTGCAACCCTCACCCCTCTACGAAGGGGCTTGTTAATGTCGACTTGTACTTTCACATGGAGATATTTGTTCCATCCAAGAGGGTTCGAGTCATCATATTCTATAAACCCTCCTAGGTGTTCACCGATATCAAAGGCAAACTCAGGTATTCGCTTATTAAAAGGGACATCACGCAATCTGATCCAGAAAGGGGAAATCCCAAATCGCACCTCTGAGGGTTGCTCATCACCGGAAATTTCAGTCAGCAGAAGGAGTTTCTTATCGAAAAACCAAGGGCAGCCCTCAAGAACTCTGCGCTTATCATCTTCGCTAAAGAATTGAAAGATGAACAAATTCGTTTTCACCATTCGAATCGCCACATTGTCTCGGACTCTCCAAACATTCAGCAGGGTGCGTTTCATAGCCTCGACATTGTACGGTCTCACAGTCAACAATTTCCCTATCAAGGTTAGGGAAATTCGAGCTTTCGTATCATCATCGACATCGCAATCATCAGAATTGCCGAATACCTTATTCTCCTCCTCAGATAACCGCAAATTATCCAAATCATTCAATAATTGAGACTCCATTGCTCACAAAGGAATAAAACCAAGAGAAAACAGGGGGAAAACTGCAGAAAAAGAGTCGAAAAACCACCAAGAACCGACGAAAAACAGGGGCAAACAGAGACCCTAGGCGAGGGACGAGAACAAACCCTAGGCAAGGGACTTTTATGTTTTTTTTATCTAAAAAAAAAAAAAAATCTAACATAGTACTTGTAGAAATTTACATATTTATCCATACTAGGCCATATACTCTAGTTACAATTTTAAGGGTGTTGTAGTCTTTATAATAGGGTGTTGTAGTCTTTATAACAGGATATTGTAATCTTGGTGTTGAATCATTGAATTATTAAGTAAAGAGAGAATAGTTATCGAACTAATAAGCATTAAGAGAATATTAGAGTAATAAGGCGATTCATTCGAGTTCAGTGCTCAACTGCTCATATATAGTTAATGTTCTTAATGAGAGAATATTTAAAAAATATTACATATTTGACCTTACTACTCTTTAATTAGATTTAATTTTATTTGAAGTTTAATAATTTGTCATGCTTTAATCTCCTGATGTACTGGCATCCGCTGATCTTTTTATGGTACTAAATTTATGGATTAGGTTCATGATTAAGATAAAGTTTGCAATCTCCTAGAACTATTTGTAGCCTAATCATCATTCTTGCCAGTATTAATTAATTAAAAAGTTTCTAGTTGGAAGTTGTCAAATGTGTTTGTCCATTACCCCTTGGACTTATATATGGCTGCGACTTGGCTCATGCATCGAGCTCCAAATTGTCTAGTTACGGCTACTAGTGGCTATATGCCAAATTGTATTGGCGCTATACTCTACTCTATTATGCGTCGTAAGTTCCGCCACCTACCATAATACACCAAGACAACCACTTTGCCAATTACCGCCTATTTTACATGTTCACTCTATAGTAATACGAAGTTTTTCACAATCTTGTAACCCAAAGGAAAATTGTTTTTTACTTTGATTGTAAAAAATAAAATATAAAATAATGTTTTAATAGCTTAAGGCGGTGTTCTACAATAAAATGTCATTGAATAAATATTAGAAATTGATTTGCACTAATGTTTAATTATGTTAGACCATTGAACGGCACACAATAGTATGATTAATCTCCTGCATTATTTACAGTACTGTTTAATTGTTAATTTTTGGTGACCTTAGATACTTGTTTCTACCAAGGTTGTTAGGATCGAGATCCTACCTTGGATCGATGAGGGGGGGTGGGATCGAATCAATAGAATCGAAACGTAGGATCGTAAGATCCTACTTAGTAACGAATAATATTATATGCTATAAATTGACTGAAAAACATTTCTTCTAATGGGTTTCCATGCGAAAGACATTGGTTTGCTTAAGAAAGGTCGATCTTCATTTAGCATTGTTTGTATGGTAGTTAGAAGATTAATAACACAAGTTTAAATTAATAAATTATGTGCAAATTTGTCAAGAATGAGACCTTAACTATAACAATTGCAAGTTGTCAATTGATAAAATCATATTAATGTCTCGGATTCGCTAATTTATTGGCGATAATTATTAAATACATTAAATTTAGGTGCATATAGCCTAGTGAGTAATAAAAAATATGTCAAAATAAATCAAAGTCTCATATTATAGTAAAATGTTGGATCGGATCGTAGGATCGTAATAAAATCGTAGGATCATGTTGAGATCTTACCACTCATAATTAATATCGGAATAGGATCGTAAGATCCTACAAACTTTAAGATCCTACCAAAAATCCGGATCGATCACGCAATTTTTGTTCGTAGAATCGTAGGATCGTAAGATCCGAATCGGGATTTTAACAAATATGGTTTCTAGTTTTCTACAGTGAAGCGCCTACAAATTTGCTCCCCCCCCCCACACACACACACTTTGCAATCACAATAATTTACCATCTTTAATTATAATTAGTTATTAAACTTGTTCTCATACCAAGTAAATTTTGATACTTTTTACAATTAGATGATTAAAATATTTATGGTTAAAGTCGTGTATTGACAAGATGTATATTATGTTAGGCTATATTCAATTATATTTTTTCGAATACATTGATATACATGTAACACGTGTAGTGTAAAGTAATACTACTACGTCATTTATGTTATCTATTCAAAGAAAAATAATTATAGACGTTTGATCTTTATAGTGTTTGAACTCACGACCAACAATAATTAAGTTGAAGGTCTAATAACCATATTAGCCAACTTTTAGTTATACTTTTATATTTAACGCTTTTAATTATATATCTAACTTTAATTGGGGTGTTTGTTTATATATATTTTTTCCATTAGTTATTCTATTGTTTAATAAGAAGTAATATTTATGATGCACTATGTATATAAAAATCTAAATATTGCAATATGATAATTATAGTAATGTCCCGGAGCTCAGGCCACACACTAATTATGATATGAAATAAAATGTCTTGTTTTAATTATATAATCATTGTATCTATATTTGCTTATTCTCTACTAGCCAATGGATGTGCTGGACCCTAACAATTGGGATAAAGCCATTTATATTATACATGATTGACTCCCAACATTAGGCATCTTGGTCTTTGCTTTATGAGTCATCTAAGTACCAAGAGCGAAAAAACCACATTCATGCTTTAAGAATCTTTGTATTTTCGTCAATATATATAAATTAGCACCAATGAATTATAGACAATTGGAAATTGAAAAGATCGGATAATATGCTTGCATATTTAATGGCAATAATGTAACCAACAACCATATACTTTAATGGCAATAATTTTGAAGTTTGCTCGTCTTAATGAGAGCATAGTTAAAGTTAACAAAGACACATTTAAGGGAGAATTTTCTTTAGTCCTTAAAAGTTGAGTCAATCCGGGCCTTGCATATTGGGTCGTACTCCAAGAGTCCAAGTTCGAGTTGGAGCTAGCCAGGCCGACCTAAAATACATCACAACCTAACATGGGTTTGGCTTGGCACATCATGACATTATGCTTGCAATTGGAGAGAAAAGCATGGCACGATATGTGGCATGAACAATTGAACATGGTTCAAATTTGCAACTTAGGTTTGTGAGCTATTATGACCCGACACACTATCCACCACGAATTAATTCCACTTCTATTCGTTTTCAAACTTTTTTATAATTATTTTTAGTCTTTGGCAATACCATTTGATCTCACTAACTAGATATATTTAATAGAATATATATATTTTTTAATTTTATAATTATTTGGAAGTTCAGGGTTTGGTGAGGGTCGGAGTAGGGGATGGTTGCGTGTTCTGGCAGTCTGGCGAGGATTGGAATTAGCGTCAGAGAGGGGGATGGTTGCGTGGTCTGGCAAGGGTCGGGATTGCGTGGCAGGATGGGGAGGGTTTTGGGCTGGTATGATGGCGTTGCGAGGAGGCTGTTGGTGCTGTGTCGCGGTGGCTGCTGCTAGGGAGACTGAGATCGGGAAAGGGGTCGGAAGGGGAAGGAGGGAATATTTTTTTTTTTTGTTTTTTGATTAAGTTTTTAAAAAATTAATATCATTTTTTAAAAAGAAAAATGTTAATATTAAATTAAAAAATCCTAACCAATCACAATACGACATGTCTCTTCCTTAACCTATAAAACAGGTTACTGGTCATTTATCCTATTTATGGAAGATCAATATTAGGTCATTTTATTGGGAATAAACAAAAGGTGGATTTATTTATGGAAGACCAAACAAAGGTCATAATATTCCTGACAATTTTTCCTATATGTTATAAATCTTATTATATACAGTAATACAGTAACATGCATGCAACAATTATCTATTGTATACATGAGTTGCATTAAGGTTGAGCAAAATTATTTGGAAAACTAAAAATCCCAAAATTTGTTTCGAAAGGTAGATAATTGTAATGGTTCGAGTATTCAATTCGATAATTCACTTTTCAAAGTTGATGGGTATCCGATAATGATCTAACAAAAATTGTTACCATTTTTGTCCACTCAAATTTATATATCCAATACCTAAACTCTTACATTGTTTCATAATTGCTTTATAATTTGAACAAATAGTCGAGATTATGCTGTAATGTTGTTGAATAGTACCAAATGATATCACAGTAACAAAAGTATAACTTTTTATATTTGGATATCATATTGGGTATCCAGTATTTGATACCCGAATTTATACTTTGTGTATAAGTTTGGCTCATAAATAGCATTTTTAGTAAGTTATTATCAAAAATCTGATCCGATAACAATAATGGTTCAGATATTCAACCATGCTCACCTTTATAGGCTCTACTTGCATTAGGTGTTCCCTTCGTGAACATGGTCTTTTAATGTCATTTTATTTTTCAATTCCTTATTCGCTCCATGCCTCTATCAAAATAAAAATATATATATATATAGTGAAACTGATTACTAATAATAATAATTATTATTATATGAGTAAGAAAAAATCATAATTTTGGAGGGAAGAAGCTTATGTTCCGCAAAATTCCCCATTCATTCATATAAGAACCTCTCATCACAAAAATTCCCTCCAAAAATGTCGCTCCTCCTCCCACACATTTCTTGTTAACGTCCCTTTCCTCTCCTCTCCCTTCTCTTTCCCTATCTCTCCTCCCTCCCTCCATTTTTTCGACGGGAGAATTCGCCATCCTCCCGTCATCAATCACTATCACCACCACCACCAATAATTTTACGAGAGGAAAAGAGGTCAAAAAAAAAAAAACATAAAATAATCGCGGCACATAATTACAATATGTCCATGTCAATGTCAATGGTAATGCTAGCGTAGTCTCTCTGGTAATGGGCCACCGGAGAGTTCACTCAGAGATTCTTTTACGAATTCCCGACCAAATTAGCTTCGGGGGTTCCATGGAAGGAGGTGATGACGCTGATGATCTCTTGGCTACTTATATGGATATGGAGAAAATCGAGTATTTCGACGATAAACAAAATGATCCCATGAATTGTCATGACAATGCTCCTCAAGATCATCATCATAATAACAATAATAATCAAAAGCCTAGACATTGCATGTTAGTCGATGAATTTTCAGGAATTTCGAGTAATAATGACAATGATAATAACAATGATTATAGCAAGATTAGCAATAATAATTCTGGGATTGCTTCTTGTGAAGCTAAGAAGGCTATGCCTCCTCATAAATTGGCTGAATTGTGGATTGCTGATCCTAAACGAGCTAAGAGGTTACCCCTTTTCTTATAATCTTATCTATAAAACAAACGTACATGTCTATTTTTTTTATTTTTAAAAATAATGTTGATCATATATTCTCTATCACATACTCGCAATTTTGTTTTTCTAGGGGAAAAAAAAGGGTAAAGTGTGCAGGGGAGGATCTACATAAGAAGAATTGGGGTCGATTGTCCTTGATTAATTGAGTTTATAAACTTGTTCCTTATGAAATTTTAGTTATTATAGAATCAACCCCCTCAAAATTCTCTAGACCGACGACGTTTATAACAAAGAGCCTTTCGAAATTTTTTGCAATCTTATATCTTAATTCATTTCTGACAAATTTCCCTTGTGTACCTTAGCTAGTATGTGATTGTAATTTTCTTAGTATGGATAATAGACAGGTTCTTGTAGCGAGTATGAATTAAAATGAAAATTTTCATGTAGGATTTTGGCTAATAGGCAGTCTGCTGCTCGATCGAAAGAACGAAAGGCTCGATATATGCAGGAGCTAGAGAAAAGAGTCAAATCTTTACAAACTGAAGCAACTGCACTCTCCGTACAGCTCTCACTTTTTAAGGTTAGTACAAAAAATGTTTCCCCTGAATCCCCTTAAGCTATAAGAAAACATAACCCTTTGTACGAGTTTCCGTGCATCAAAGATGATAGATAGTCATTTACAAGCTTAGGAAAAAAACAATTATGCTAATAGGCTAATAGCTCTTATTTCCTTCTCTTGCCAGAAATTATGTGGTAGAATTCTCTTGCCAGAAATTATGTGGTAGAATAATGTTTTGTTCTACGATGCTTCTATAGTGTAAATGTAAACAAATCTAGTGTTATAATTCATCAAAATTGCTTTTTTAACTGGTTCTAAAGCCAGATTTTTATGCATTTTGTTTTCCCATCTTCAGAGAGATACAACTGGTTTAACAAACGAGAACATGGATCTTAGACGTCAATTAGAGTCCATGGAACAACAGGCTCAACTACGTGATGGTACGTGTAACCCTCGTTTACTGTCATAATTGATAATTCTATGCTAGTTATGAATAGACATCTTAAGGATATAGCAGCTTTATTTCATGATGTATATGTATACTCTGACTCTTAGAATAACCGACTGAATCATGTAAGATGTTACCTTGTCAAACAGCTTTGAATGACGCGCTCAAACAAGAACTAGACAGGCTTAAGGCTGCTACTGGAGATACTTCAAACACTGCAGACACCTTCGTTATGCCACAACAGAATGCACCACATCATTCGCAACAGCAGCAACACCCCCACCGCCAACAGCAGCAGCAATCATCCTGTCCGTTCGACTCAAACATGCTCATGAGCCCTCATCAAATCGACTCACATAACTCAAAAATGTCCTGTTTACAACCCTTTGAGATGAAGATCTCCCGCCCTTCTCCAGCACTTGACTCACACCAAACAGAACCAATCGAAGCAATAATGATTAACATGGCTCAGCAACCAAAAGTACCACAACATTTCCCCATTGATAGAGGCAGTTTTCTTCCATTCGAGTCATCTAAACCAAGAGTGCCACAATTTTGTACAAACGAAGCAAATATGAGTTACCCTCCTCAGGCAATGGACTCACCCCTCGGAAATATTTCACCATACACGTTTGAATCAAACAGCCAAAGCCCCGAGCAAGAAGTATACACAACATCTCGAACACAAATGCTTGGACAAATGCCTATAAATGATCATAGTAACAAATGGCAAGGTCTTGATATCAATGGTTTAAACTCTTATCATGTGAAAGTAGAAGGTCCATCTATTATTGCCAATGAAAATATGAAAGCATTTTAATCTAATTCCCCTGCTTCGTTTTTGTCAGCTGATTAAGATATAGAAGAAAGCATATAATTTTTTTTCAGCTTTCGAAAATCTTTGTTAGCTAGCCTTGCTCAATTGGCTTTCTTCCATGCCAAACATTCTCTGTATGTAATTTCAAAATAGTTCATTTTTCAATTTAAACTGTAAATGGTTTTTTTTTAATCAATTATTAGACATAGCACATATACATATATATATTTTAAGGAATTATTAGACATAGTATTAGCCTAACTTTAAATTGGAAAGGCAGTGGATCAATTGGCTTGTAAACTTGGTAAGCTTTGTTTACATATATGCTTCCTCCGGCCCAATTATTGGTTTGTACATCCAATGAACCTAAAGGGTATATTCAAATAACATTAAGGCTAAAATAAATGAACATGAACTTTAAAAGTACGTAAGAGTTAAAATGAATGAACACGGACTTTAAAAGCAACGACTAACATGCAGTTTAATTGCAAAAAAAACAGTCTAAGTTCCATGTCCAAACTCAAAAAAGTGTATACACTTAAAATTGACTCACAACAAACATGAGCTTAATTAAGCTTTTGGTTGAGTTAGTCCCTTAACATAATATCGGAACCAACGTAACACAAAGGTCACGGGTTCAAATCTCGATCACTCCCTTCTTTACTAGTCATCAGGGGTTAGCAATTTGGTTTCTTGAGAAAAAGCAACTGTTTCAGTTGTAAAGCATATACTTTGTCACTGCATCAACAAAGTCTTTCTCTTTCACAAACTTCCGATCCATCCTTCGGAGGGCAGGGTCAAGAGTATCAAGTCTGGAAAATATCAGAAAGAGCATAATTGTCAATAATACTTAATTAGTTAGTCCTAATAAGAAGTTTGATGTTTCGCCGAGAATCAAATCCATCAAGCAGATTTGCTAAATCTGTTATAGTATGTTGTACCTCATTATCACCAGGCCAGCAGCAACATCAAAAGAACGTGCACCTCCTACCGCGTCAATTTCATCAAACCTTGATCTCAAATTAATATGAAATATAGTTTGAGACTAAGAGCTTAAACTCGTACTCGTAGTGTGAAACAGAGAAAACACTCAAATCTTCATCCCAAAATTGTTGGAAAAAATTAATAATATGAAATGTTGTTTGAGACAAAGAGCTTAAGTGTGAAAGTACAAGATGTATGGAAGTAAAATGTTCAAATTAAGTTAGAAATGAAGACACAAAAATATCAAGGACATACCCGACACGCATGCCTTAGCTTGTTCTATATCATCAGTTGGAGAAACTCCATCTCCAACTCCAAGCCCAACAGCCATAACCTGTGATAGTTTATTCAATAAAAAAATGGTGTAAGAAAACCCTACTTTTCTTGTCAATTTATTATGCTTTCTACACATGAATACGATTATGCAAAATTAACGAGTTTTTAAACATGTAACATAAAAGCCTCATATTACAAAAGAAGCATGCTAAGGAGCTGAGAAATCAGTAGAAAGAGTAATTTTGAGGCACCAATTAGTCAATTACCACTATTCTTGACAGTTGAATCATGTATCTAACCGCTTGTTCAATGTTAGGACCAATCGAAAATAAGTGCAGAATACCTTAGATATACCGTGCACCCAGATGTATATTGCACGGGTAGGTAGAGAAAAGTAAATCATCAAGAGTATGTGACAGGCTAAAGCGGAACAAATGAAAGCATGACCCAACATGTAATAATAAAAGGGTGGGTCTAAAAATCCAATCCGAAAACGATGTTAAGGCCCACCAAAATCTAGAATTCTTCATAGGTCGGGCCCATTAAAGATACTCTTGTCACTACAAAATTTTTCTATATAACATCCACCAATTTTCACTTCTTAGCCCCCCTTTCCTCTTCTTATACAAACAAACCTATAACGCTTGTCTTACATACTTTTCTAACTTTCATATATAATAACTTGCACTTTACTCTTGTCCATACTTATTATTATCATTACTAAATAAAAGTAGCATATATTATATGGTACATAAAAATCAAGAGTTGTTGGTTCGCTACATATATTTATTTGACACAACCTTTTGTTTAGACTAGAAATAATTGAGTTGCTACGGATTGATCCAACAACATATTACAAAATCGAAGAGTTAGTAAGCGTCGAACAAAAAATGAAGGAAAATGGAAGGAAACAAGGGGCGGTGTCTCCTTGTGCAGCGTGCAAGTTGCTACGAAGAAGGTGTGCGCCAGATTGTGTATTTGCGCCTTACTTTCCTGCTGACGAGCCTCAGAAATTTGCTAATGTGCATAGAGTTTTTGGTGCTAGTAACGTCAACAAGATGCTACAGGTACGCCACTTTATTTAATTTATTTTTTTTTTTAAATTTTTTAAATTTAATTTTTTTTTTGTCTTAAGAGAGCTACGAATGCATGTGATGATGTGAATCGATCACATAATCTCCTAAAATCGGGAGGGAATCTCTAACTAATTGAATTATCCCTCACTCTCATTTTATTTCCTTTTTCTGCATTCTACATTGTTTCATGGCTTCTCATGATCATGCATCAACACGATTTAATTTCCATGACAAATTGTCTTCTCTTATCGTTGAGCTTAGAATTCTAAGGAATAATATACGGTATCCTAAATTTTTTTGTTGTTGGTTACCATTAATGTTAAGAGTTAAAAGTTTGGTGGTTGTCAACTTGTGAAAGGGATATTTTACCACCCTAGGCATGGTCGTTCAAGACAAGCAAAATTGATTGTTGAAATTATTAAAATGTATACGGGTTTAAAAAGAAAAGAAAAAGAAAAAAAATAAAAAAAATAAAAAAAATTCAACAAATTATCAAACATAATGGTGATATTCCTAATTACATCCCTTGCAGAATGTTCCTAGCTAACAATTACTATTAGCTTTAGAATTAATGCTAAGGAGAGATCGAGTGTTTAAAAAAGTAGGTGGGTGTAACAAAAATATGGATAAATTTAGGTTAATAATGCAAAATAATAAAGGGGGGGGGGGATTAAGGTTAGGAAAAAAAAAAGTTAATTAAATAAGAAACAAGAAGTGGTTTCAAAAAAAAAAAATAAGAAACAAGAAGTAAAATAATATATATATATTGTGCGGCGAGAGGGGTTAGGTATTAAAAAAGTTTGTAATAATGTAGATATGTATAGTATTGTAAAATGGATGTAAATAAAATATAGGACGGTTTTTAAATGGCTAAAATGGATGTAAATAAAATATAGGATAGTTGTAGCCACTGTATTAGATCAAATCTCAACCCTTTATTTATTTTAACCAATGTAAACTGTTGATTGAGGATTAAAAATGACTTTTTACAAAATTGATTAAAAAAAATAAACACGTTCTTTTATAATATTTCATCTGCAATCTTTTCGATCTCATATTCATGCCAACTCGCAACTTTCTTGATGATATTACAACGTTCCTTCGATCCCTTTCCTCCTCATTTTGCTTTTATGGAGCAATGCTTATAGTAGAATATGCGCCATCGAAATTGTTATTCCAATTCAGATCTTAAGTACCATATTCAATTTTTTTTTTTTTCGAAAAAACTGCCGTAACGTTTATCTCCGTTAATCCTTTAACATCTAAACAAAGAAAGAAGGATTCCAAAAGAGAGAGGATCATGGATCAAATTACTGAAGGAGAAACTGAATCTAATAACGTTTTTTTTTTTTTTTGTCAAATATCCTTTTTTGTTTTTTTTTTAAGAAAAAAAAACTAAATAATCATCTTAATTAACGGTTTATATTAGTCAAAATAAATAAAAGGCTGGGATTTGATCTAATATAATAGCCACAATTATATTGTAGCCATTCAAAAGTCAAAATATATTAAGAAATTTAATTATTATCACATCATAACTTCAAATATTGTCTCATATACAGAATACAAAAAAAAAAAAAAAAAAAGAAGAAGAAACGATATGAAATATTGTCCGGGACACTGACTAGTTTTATGGAGTATTATTAAATGTTGAAATGATGCGCCAACCAACTACTTTTTGGCGGGAATGTATATGGTAATTTTTTATTTTTTGATGACAAAGTACCTGGCAATATCTTAATATCGAAGGATTATTGAATATGATGATTATGCATTCAAATTTTGTTTCGTACCCTTTTTCAACACACAAGTATGTAAATAAGATCATATTAGAACTTTAGATTTTCAATTACTTATTGTTCAATATCTTTAATTACTTATTTCTAAAATATAAAATTATTTAATTAAATATTACATAATAAGACGAATCTAACAAAATTATATTTGATAATGCTTTATCTTATAAATTAGTAAAAAAATGCAGTTAATCTTGGTCAAATTTAAACATTATATAGACTAGACTGGATGAGAATAATTTACATCACAGTATAAGACAAAACTTTATTACAATCATAACAAATCACCTTATTTACTCATGTTACTATTTTGACGTTTGACTTTTGACATATAAGCCAAATGTATATGCTTTGCAATGTGTATGCATTAAGGTTAGTAATCTTATATTCTCATGTACAGAAACTCCTTCACGCGGTGCAAAAGTTGGTTGTCCCCCATAGCTTTTGACCTTTATCAGTTGTAGCGGTTAATAACGGTCGAGGGACCCACTTTACTTTTTTAAACCACTTTACCGTACCCTTTTATCAATTAACAATGTGAGTATTACCTCAACTACATTTTTCAATTGACATCAATCTTTTATCACGCTTGCTAATATACTTCTTTTATTCTTTTTTATTTGACCCGCTTAAACTTTATACCATTCACCTGTCTACTTTTGACCGTCTTTAGTGAATTATACATATGTAAGGAAAAACATATTCGTGTAAGATCTTGTTAGAATCGTCTAAATAAATACTATCACAATATATAACTTTTATAATTTTTATTTATAGAGAATGAAAGTTATTGATGGTTAAAGTTGTGCATCGACAAGCGTGATAAAAGAAACAGGTCAAGTAAAAAAGAACAGAGGAAGTATAATTTTAACGATAAATATCTTCAATTATTGACACTGTAAAATTATAAAAAAATCGACATAAATAAATTTATATTGAGATAATTCACACATGATTAAGTTTTTAATGTATCTATGAATAACAAGAGTTAGTTAAAGTAAAATTTGTAAAATTATAAATAGTGAAATAATCAAAGTGTCAACTAAAAGACGGGAAAAAATAGGTTTTTTTTTACTATACACTCTAACCCTTTAGTATAAAGTTATTTGATATACCTTAGTATCAATTAACAATAATTTATTTGACCTTATCACTACTAATTTGATTTGATTTGATATCTTATGTTTCCCTAGTCCATTTTGCTCATTACGCATTTTTGTCACTTTTCACTGTGGCCTTAACCCTTTTAAACTTATTACTTTTTCCATCACTTTTTAAATCTTTAAGCCTTAACTATTTTTTTTTCTTACAAAAAGATACGGAGTATTAAAATGTAAAGATTAAACATTGATAGGGGGTATATTGTAATTTTATACAATGTGACTACGCTATTAATTCCTTTAATTTGCTTTTTATTTGTGACACAATCAAATTTTAAAATAATAACAAAAAAAAAAAATCAAATTTTACATCATTTCTAGTTCATATTCTTGAATATCAAAATATCAGCCATTAAAACTACGTTTATAAAAAATTTACATGTTTAAGACCGCTATGCACTGAAAAAAAATCTATCAAGATCTCACATGCATAAGTATTATGTTTTTTTATGTACGAATCAATGAATACTTGTTGTCAAAGTTTATTATTTTTCATATAAATTATTCAAAATGAAACTAATAAAATATGAGGAAGCTAAGTATTAATCATAGTAATTAAGAAAAAATTATCTTCTATTTTCGTCCTAAAATAAAGAGAGTTACAAACTTACAATACTTAGATGATATGGTTTGGTAGATCAACGTACACCTATAAAATAAGAAAATATTTAAATAAGTTAACTATGTTGATGAAATAAAGAATGTGACATAACATACTGTATTATTTTGCATGTACAAAATGCATATACGTAGTATATTAATTTCATCTTATTTGTATACCTCAACTTGCTGTGCAATATCAAATTCTTGATACTTTTTTTTTTTTAAAAAAAGAAATTTTTTAATATAATATCCCCTAGGTTAGTTAGATTTGTCAATACATTGATTTATATCAGTTTCACTGTAACGAGTGTCCAAGAGTATTATATTTCAACTATAGTTTTATTCAACAAGAAGTTACGAAAACCCTATAAAAGAGTTAGTTAAAGCTTGAAGTAGTGGAATGTTAAATATATACAAAAGAAATGTGATTAGCTTAATAACTTTTTTTTAAGAAAAAAAAAATTGGAATACTAATTATTGGAATAATTAAAATTAAATAAAGTTATGCAAAGCACGCAGCAACTTTTTGACCACTAAGAAGCCTTTTCGTGCACATTCCTTAGCCTTTTTATTTGAAAATTATTATGAGTATATCCTACGCTTCTTAAGAGATTTGTAAAGCATGCACAACATAAATATTACTGATTTGATACAATGATACTATGTATAATGGCGTATCATGTAGTTCTTCATATTTTTTCCCGTAAAATTTACTAATTATTAACGTCAAGATGGTGTCAAATTGCTTTGAAAACTCATCACAT